AGTTCATTTACAATGTCTTATTCATGGCAACTGGAGTTATTTGTTTAAATGTCTTAGTGGTGATCGAGTTCCACTTACAATCATCGATACTTCATCAAGGTTTCATATTATTGTTAAGTTCATTTACAATGTCTTATTCATGGCAACTGGAGTTATTTGTTTAAATGTCTTAGTGGTTTAWTTGTTAATTTTCCATATTCTGGTAGMTTCGACAGCAGGAATACTCTTGCCGAGGAATTGAAGCATGCTGATGCTGTGGTATTGACTTATGCATGCGATCAGCCTGAAACGCTCGATCGATTGAGCACCTTCTGGCTCCCAGAACTTCGTCGTCTTGAGGTTTTATACATTTTATGATACGTCTTTTTGTTTCTCCTACTGCTGATTGAATAGCTGGTTGTTGGTCGCTTTTGCCATACATTCTTTTAATGTTTATTACTTGTGTTGATATAGTACCTTTTCAAATTTCAGGTGAAGGTGCCTGTGGTTGTGGTTGGTTGCAAGCTAGATTTGCGGGACGATAATCAACAGGTGAGCCTGGAGCAAGTAATGTCACCCATCATGCAACAGTTTCGGGAAATTGAGACTTGTATAGAATGTTCTGCGGTTAATCAAATTCAGGTATTTTAAGTTTCCCCTCCTTATGTCAGTGCTTCCTGCTTAATCTTTCTTGTGTGTGTGTGTGCTTTTTATTATTATTATTTTTTAATTTTGCCCTTACTTGGGWATACATTCAACCAATTTTGTTTATTGGACATGACCCTATTGGCATCATTGAGCAATATTTCTGCTGTACCAGTTACTTTAATTTCAATGATTTTCCCCTCTCCTTGCTGAAATATATTTTTTATTTGGCTTGTCACTTCAAGGAGTGTAAGAGCAATAATGGKTTAAGGTTGCAAAATTTTAGAAGGTTTTAGAAGACAATCTAGGACTCCAGGATTGTAGCTTGGTGAATCCCAATAACTGTTGGCTTCACGATTTAATCTGTCTTGGCTTTTCTGTTGTTAGGTCAATGCGAGTTGAATCTCTTCCTTTGCAGGTCCCTGAGGTTTTTTATTATGCTCAGAAAGCAGTGCTTCATCCCACTGCTCCATTATTTGATCAAGAAACAGAGACCTTGAAGCCCCGGTGTGTCAGAGCCTTGAAACGCATATTTATTTTGTGTGATCACGACAGGGATGGTGCTCTTAGTGATGCAGAATTGAATGATTTTCAGGTAACTTTTTATCATCTAAAATCTACACTATCTTTTACCTTTATTAAGTGGTTCTAGTGGTAAATTGATGCATTATATTCATCTTAAATGTATAACATTTTGAATGGACTTGTAATGCTTGTAAACAGGTGAAATGTTTTAATGCTCCTCTCCAGCCCTCTGAAATAATGGGTGTTAAGAGAGTTGTTCAAGAGAAGTTGCCAGAAGGGGTAAATAGCCGTGGTCTTACCTTGACAGGGTTCCTTTTCCTCCACGCACTTTTCATAGAGAAAGGGCGACTTGAGACCACATGGACTGTCCTGAGGAAATTCGGTTATGATAATGATATCAAACTCAGGGATGATCTACTTCCAGTTCCACAGAAACGGGCTCCTGATCAGGTATTTCTATTCTTCAATTGATGCCATATCTTTATGGCTTCATATTTCTTTGAATTTATTGAATGCTTTGTTATAACTTGATCTGATTTTCTAGTTCTCTGATTAAAGGGAAAGCTGAACTTGCTCAAGTATTTGGTTCTAGGGTCTTCAGGTCTTATAGATTCATTTATGTAAAGCATTCAATATAAATTTTCCATATTTGTAATAAATGTCTGATTTCTAGAGTAAATTGAAGATGTGAAGTATGTGAAAATAGGTGTGAAATAAGAATGATACACATTTTTGGCTGGACATGTCACATGTGGTGGACAAGGAATTGACAGTAAAAAATGAAGTGTCCAACATGGTGCGACTCCTCTGTGGAGGTACTCCAACATCATATATAACCATTTTAGCCCCAGTTATGCCCCTTTTTGTGTATCAGTATGTCTGTCGAGTCTTTAGATCATCAATTCTGTTTATTTTCATACTCCTCTTCATGGTGGAATTGGGGCGGTTGTTTTTCTTTTTAATTTATTTTCATAGGAAAAATGTGAGTATTATTTTTACAAAAAGTTAAGAGGCACATGATAGCTACAGGAAGCAGAAAAATTTAAAAAAGATAAAACCTGTAGAACCTAGTTTGATAAGATATGACCCACTGCAAGTCCTTCACAAGAAAAAAAAAAAAAGAAAAAAGCGAATGCCATCTGATCCAACGAATCAGCCAAATCACTAATAAAAAAATAGCCAAATCATTAGTCCCTTTTAATCCAGCAGAAGTGCAGAACCATATCTTTCCTTTGGCCACTAATGATCTAGCCTCCCTATTAAGCTGATAGATTCATAGACCCAAGGAGGAATGGACCATCATTTCCATCCCTCATCTATCCCATAACAATCTGCATATCACTCTCAACCTCTACTCTCACACATCCAAGGGAATGTGCAAGGAATAGCTTTTTGAGAAGAGATAGAAGCTCAGTGCTGATAGTCATTCGAACAACTGAACTTGATTATCCATGCAATACCTCACACCATGGCCCAAGTACTCTTCCAAGACCAGGACATCGATTCCCCAAAAACATCCATCAAAATTCAACTTGATGAATTCAGATGAAGGGGGCACCCAGTGCTGGACAGGTATGTCTATTGCTGCTGATAGAGAAGCCACTGCATACCATCCCCTCAGTATGTAGTGGAGAATGCATGTAACTCCTCTATATTATGTAACTAGTATGCTATTCCAATAATCATGAGGCTGGTTGATCTTACTCCTTGTTTCTTATTAGAGAAAATCCTAGCAATCCTTACCTCTTACATTGTCCAAAAGACTGCTTCTCTTGAACACATGCATGTAATCTTTCCCCTCAAATGTGGGGGAGATAACCAAGCCAAGTCAAACAATACTGGAATGTCTTGTGGTTGGGAACCTTCCAACTCCAAATAATGCAAAAAATGTTCCCAAATTCCTAAAGTATAGGCACAGGAGATTAATAAATGGTGAGTGGCCTTGCTGTAGAAATCACAAAGACAACAAATATGGGTTGAGAGGGCTCAATTGGGTTCCTGCATTGAAGCATACTGCAAATGTTAATTTTCTTATGTATCACCTCCTGACCAATGCCCTGATTTTTGGTGGGATGGAAGTCAGAACCTGACTGAATAGCTTTATCCAGAAATACTTGGTCCTAATTTCAGAAAATCAGGTGTATCATAGTTGTTTTTGTCATGATTTARTTTGTAGTTTAATAGTATATTTTTTGATTAGTAACAAGATTCACATTTTATTAATTTTGTGGAAAGAAAAACTAATACCAACATTTCAAGTTGTTGGAATGGCAGATAATACAAGCTGAATACAGATAAAATAACAGCCGCAAGCTGGCAAATAGAAACCCATAAAATCACCCACTGTTTGAAATCAGGTCCAGGTCCTCTTGAAGCCCAACATTTYCTCYCTTTCCCTATGAACTTTACTTCTTCTAGTGCATCTACTGATAGATTYTATCATTTTCTGTGCTATGGGTTCATCTGAATGAACAGTTCAGATTGGCTACTAGAAATTTTGTTTCTCTTAACAGAAATCTAAGAGGCCAGGATCATCCCTTTTAGTAGTCAACCAGTCAATCTCTACTTGACAATCACCTTCCACCAACAGGTCCTTCCAAAACCTTGAGGAAGCTATGAGAGCATATACAGCACCCTGCATAACAAGACACAGTGCTAGGGCCCATATCCTTTCTGTACATTTTCTATCCTGTATGCATGGGTACAAAAAAAGTGCTATATTCATAAAATAGAGTAAATCAAAATTTAGTTTTAGTATTCTTCTTTTTGACTCATCTAACTATGATTTACATGCTGTGTCCTTGGTGTGTAGCTTGCTATTAGGGAACCATACCCTTATAATCAATGTTTTAAAAACTGACCGGAAGGCCGAACCATTTTTGCCTTTCGGTTGTGCGTTACCGGTTCGACCATCTGGGTTGAATGGGTCAGATTGTGCCACATTAGCAATATGTAAATTCATACATATATATGTATATATGCATACATATATATATATATATATTGGTATGTATAAACATGTATTTTATCAATAAATAATGTATAATTATGTTCTACATGTAATATATATTATTTTATATTTAATTTATGTTTTTAATTCAGTTTTAAATTTTTATTTGTAAAAAATATTAAAAATTGCAATTAGAGGCCAAAAAGTTTTTTCTTTTTGGCGAAAATAACGGGGCAAGGTGCCTACGACCCCTTGGGACGCATAGTTCTCGAAAAGCTACCCAAAATAAAAAAACCCCAATTGGACATTGGAGTGCAAAGTTATGGCCTCCTGAAGTTTGCATACACATTTAGTGTGCAACTCGTGACTCGATCACCGGGTTGAATGGGTGAACGGTCCAACTGTCCAGGTCGGACTGACAAGAGCTTGATTTCCCAACAGTTGGGGTTTCTTCTCATTGTAGGGTACTAGGATTCCACACCACAATACTAACACTGGGAAGGTCTTTGACAAGAGCCTCCCTATCAGCCATAGGCCAATAGGGAGAACTTAGGGGTGGATTCGAGCCGAGCCGAGCCAAATAGTACGAGGCTCGAGCTTGGCTCACCAATGTATTACAAGGCTCGAGCTTGGTTTGAGCTCGAGCTCGATTTGAAAAAAAAATTTATAAAAATAAAAATTATATATAAAAAAATATTTTTTATTTAATATTTAAAAAATAAGAATTATAATAATTTTATTATATATATTATTTTCTATATATATATATACGAGCTCAGTTCACGAGATGAGCTCGAGTAGCTCGTGAAGAGCTCGGCTCGTGGCCACCCCTAGGGATAAGGGAACAAATCCATGAGGAGCAACACATCACAAAAGTCATCCTTCTGGAAGCCAACCTGAGTCACTAGACCATTCACATGTATAGAAAATAATTATCCATAGCAATGCTAAACATCACAGAAGTTACCCTTCTGTAAGTAACCTGAGTCACCAAACCATTCACATGTATAGAAAAAAAATTATTCCATAGCAATGCTAAAAGTGATGGGTGAACACTAGAGGTCATTGGACCATTCACATGTATAGAAAACTTTTTTAGAGTACAAAACAAATAAAACTATACTCTTTGCATAAGTTCATTTATCTAATATTTGACTCAACTAAGCCTTGTCTGAACTGCTATGCTACATGAATCCTGTTCTGCCATCCCACTCTGTTCACTGCTATATCATTGCATATACTAGGGGTGCAAGTCAAGCGGGTTGGGCCGGGTTTATGGTCAACCCAGGCCCGACCCTAAAATTTGGGCTTAAGGCCCGAGTCCGAGGTCAAACATGATTTTCCCAACCCGAGCCCAGCCTGCCCTGTAATTTGATGCACTCGGGTTGGGCTCGGGCCCAGGTCGGGCTCTGGTTGGTCAATAAACTCACTCTAAAATTATACATATATAAATGTATTTATGCAAATATATATACATATATTTATTTATGTATCTAAATATGTATACAAATGTTATATATACAAATATGTATGTATATATATATGTATGCAACATTTACATATATACACATATATATGTATGCAACATTTACATATATACACATATACATGTATAAATGTATATAATTGGACCAGGCTCGGGCTACCTAAGGGCTAGGCCCGAGCCCGACCCAAAAAATAAAAAGCCCAACTTCTTGGGCCCGAGGACCGAAAATCCAAGACCAGCCTGTGTAAAATTCTGGGTTGGGCCGGTTCGGGCTCGGGTTGGGCCCGCCCAAGTTGCACCCCTAGCATATACGATATAATTTTTAATCATATATGTTTTTTTTTTTTATATTATTAAAGTACCCTTAGAGCACATGCCAAACTGCATGGTTAATTCTATATTGATGTGGATCTGTATTCTACTGGGTGTTAAACTAATGCAAGATCAGATCTTTGGCACCGTGTGTTTACAGGGTGAAACATCTAAGCTTACGTTATGGCATTACAAACACATTGGAAATAGAGAAAGAAGGACATTTAGGGATGAAATATACTGCAGAATATTTTACTATAAATTCAAATACATAGGTGCCATTAGGTGCCACATTAGGACAAATTAAGTATGAATGTCCCCTAGACACAAGATGAAGTGTTCCTCATGCACAAAATCTGATGCAAAATGTCGTGTTCCTGTTTCAAGTTAAATCTGGTCAATCAAATACATTTTTTTGGAATGTTAAAGTCAAATTAGCTATGTGGTGCTTACGAGAAGTCAAAATGGGAACACAACACCACATTACCAAACACTGCCTCTTTTGAGTAGTGTTGCATCGATGCTGACACAGGTATCAGAATCCAATATGTAGCTGGTGTTTGACCCAGAAATCTGAGAAAACAAGGACTCATGGATACGTCATAAAAATTATAAAGTATTCCATTGTTTTAGAATTCTAACATTATACACCTACAGGAAAAAGGTCTACTATTTTATCTTTGTTACTTGATAATGTATTAT